AGTTAGTAGTAGCAGTAGTCGTGGTAGTGGTAGTAGTAGCTGTAGCAGTAGCAGCAGTAGCAGCAGAAGTAGCAGTAGCAGTAGTAGTCGTAGTAGTAGTAGTAGTAGTAGTTGTAGTAGTAGTAGTAGTAGTAGTAGTAGTAGTAGTAGTAGTAGTAGTAGTAGTAGTAGTTAGTAGTAGTAGTTAGTAGTAGTAGTTAGTAGTAGTAGTTAGTAGTAGTAGTTAGTAGTTAGTAGTTTGTAGTAGTAGTAGTAGTAGTAGTAGTAGTAGTAGTATTAGTAGTAGTAGTAGTAGTTAGTTAGTTAGTTAGTTAGTTAGTTAGTAGTAGTAGTAGTAGTAGTAGTAGTAGTAGTAGTAGTAGTAGTAGAAGTAGTAGTCGTAGTAGTAGTAGTAGTAGTAGTAGTAGTAGTAGTAGTAGTAGTAGTAGTAGTAGTAGTAGTAGTAGTCGTAGTAGTAGTCGTAGTGCTAGTTATATGAGAATTACTCCGACGGTAGGACCCCACATGAGAATCTGTTTAGCTTACCCTTTGCCCTTTCCTCCTCCCCCTGGCGGACACCCTCTCCTCTCGCCCTCTGCACTGCCCTCTCTTCCTCATTCTATTCCTCTTCCTACTTCTCCTCCTCCTCCTCCTCCTCCTCCTCCTCCTCCTCCTCTCGCGCCACCTCCTCCTCGTCGTCGCCCTCCCCCATGCCCCTTCCCTCCTCATCCTCCTGCTTCTTTTCCATGTGCACCTCCCGTTCCCTCTGGTCGTGGCAAGCAGCTCGATTTTCCTCGGCGCCGTCGCCGCGTCGGCCAGCACGCGCGCGTTTGCCGACGGCTAGATCGCGAAGCCGTCGGGACAACCCTTCGGGCCAGGCCGTTGGGGCAACCTCGCAGGCCACAGGGGCGCGGGCGCCAGCCGTTGGGACAACCCCGCGGGCCTCTAGGTGCGCGCCGCGGCGCTCAGGCGGGCGACAGCACGAAGCCCAGCTCAGCCGCGAGCTGCTCCGCCTCCGCCCTGGAATCCACCGCTCTCTTGTCGAACTCCTGGAGCGCCTTCCGCAGTGACGCCGGCGGCCCGCGCTCCAGGAACTCCCGGTGACGCCGGCGGCCCGCTGTCGCATGACTACAACAAGTTTGCCGACGACCAACTCGGACGATGCTACCCGGACTTCTAAATCGCCCTTTCGGGCACGCAGGCCCATGACAACAACAATTTTGCCCGCGACCAGTTCAGACAGACGACGCTCCCGCTTGGTAACTCCCCGGTATTCAGGCCGCAGGAGCGAGTTCTTAAATCCGTCCTCGGACCTGCAAGTGACGACAGGAGACGGTCCTCTGACGGGGCTACCCGCACCGCCCACAGACAAAGTTCCCCCTTGATGCTTCCCCCGTGTTCAGGCCGCAGGAGCTGAGGAGCCCAAAAAGCTCGCTCGGATGACCCGCTCGGGTTCGAACATGAAACGCGTGCCCCATAGGGAGGGGGCTCCCGCCTGAGACTTCCTTGCAATTCACTCACAGACGAGGCTCCCGCTCGAGACTTCCTTCATATTCAAGCCTCAAGAACCCAAAAGTGACGACAGGTACAGGGTTCCGATGACCCGCTCGGATTAGTTACATGTTCGGCGGGCCCCATAAGGAGGGCGCTCCAGCTTGAGACGTCCTCGCAATTCACTCAGACACGAGGCTCCCGCCTGATACTTCCTCCATTTTCAGGCCTCAAGAGCCCAAAAGTGACGACAGTTACAAGGTTCCGATGACCCCTTCGGATTAGTAACATGATCTGCGGGCCCCATAGGGAGGGGGCTCCCGCCTGAGACTTCCTCGCGATTCACTCACAGACGAGGTTCCCGCCTGATACTTTCTGCATATTCAAGCCTCATGAGGCCTAAAACTGACGACAGTTACAAGGTTCCGATGACCCGCTCGGATTAGTTACATGATCCGCGGGCTCCATAGGGAAGGGGTTCCCGCCTGAAACTTCTTCGCGATTCACCCACGGACGAGGCTCCTGCTCGAGACTTCCTTCATATTCAAGCCTCAAGAGCCCAAAAGTGACGACAGTTACAAGGTTCCGATGACCCTCTCGGATTAGTTACATGATCTGCGGGCCCCATCGGGAGGGGGCTCCCGCCTGAAACTTCCTCGCAAGTCACTCACAGACGAGGCTCCCGCCTGATACTTCCTCCATATTCAAGCCTCACGAGCCCAAAAGTGACGACAGTTACAAGGTTCCGATGACCCGCTCGGATTAATAACATGATCTGCGGGCCCCATAGGGAAGGGGTTCCCGCCTGAAGCTTCCTCGCAATTCACTCACAGACGAAGCTCCTGCTCGAGACTTCCTTCATATTCAAGCCTCAAGAGCCCAAAAGTGACGACAGTTACAAGGTTCCGATGACCCGCTCGGATTAATTACGTGATCGGCGGGCCCCATAAGGAGGGCGCTCCAGCCTGAGACGTCCTCGCAATTCACTCAGACACGAGGCTCCCGCCTGATACTTCCTCTATATTCAAGCCTCAAGAGCCCAACAGCGACGACAGTTACAAGGTTCCGATGACCCCCTCGGATTAATAACATGATCTGCGGGCCCCATAGGGAGGGGGCTCCCGCCTGAGACTTCCTCGCGATTCACTCACAGACGAAGTTCCCGCCTGATACTTTCTGCATATTCAAGCCTCAGAGGCCCAAAAGTGACGACAGTTACAAGGTTCCGCTGACCCGCTCGGATTGATAACATGATCTGCGGGCCGCATAGGGAAGGGGCTCCCGCTTGAAACTTCCTCGCAATTTACTCACTGACGAGGCTCCTGCTCGAGACTTTCTTCATATTCAAGCCTCAAGAGCCCAAAAGTGACGACAGTTACAAGGTTCCGATGACCCCCTCGGATTAGTTATGTGACCGGCGGGCCCCATAAGGAGGGCGCTCCAGCCTGAGACGTCCTCGCACTTCACTCAGAGACGAGGCTCCCGCCTGATACTTCCTCCATATTCAGGCCTCAAGAGCCCAAACGTGACGACAGTTACAAGGTTCCGATGACCCCCTCGGATTAGTAACGTGATCTGCGGACCCCATAAGGAGGGGGCTCCCGTCCGAAACTTCCTCGCAAGTCACTCACAGACGAGGCTCCCGCCTGATACTTTCTGCATATTCAAGCCTCAGAGGCCCAAAAGTGACGACAGTTACAAGGTTCCGATGACCCCCTCGGATTAGTAACATGATCTGCGGGCCCCATAGGGAGGGGGCTCCCGCCTGAGACTTCATCGCAATTCACTCAGAGGCTCCCGCCTGATGACCGAATGACGAGTGAGCGAATGATGATGATGAGTGTGTGATGAAAGAGTGATGATGATGAGGATGATGATGATGATGGCCACTGAGTGGGTGATCGAGAGATTATGATGGAGATGGTGACGATGATGGTGAGAGTGGCGGCGGTGCCACCGTCGGAGGACCACTGCCTCCGAAGCCTACTGAGGATGAGTGAATAATTGAGTGAGTGAGTGGGTGATCGAGTGGTGATGATGGTGCCGATAATGATGAGGATCATGATGATGACTAGTGATGACGGTGATGGTGGTTGATGGTGATGATGATGGTAATGATGATGAGTGTGTGCGTGTGATGACGATGATGGTGGTTGATGGTGAAGATGATGGCGATGATGGTGAGGGAGAGAGAGAGAGAGAGAGAGAGAGAGAGAGAGAGAGAGAGGAAAGGGTGAGTGTGAGATCCTGCGCGGCGTGTGCAGAGAAAACAAGAACCCCACTTTGGAAGTGGGAAAAAATAGCAACACGAATAATAGTAGCAGTGACAAAAGTAGTAGAAGTAGTAGAGTAGTAGTAGCAGTAGTAATACAAGACGTTGTTGTAATACACGTAGTAGTAATAGTAGTAGTAGTAGTAGTAGTAGTAGTAGTAGTAGTAGTAATAGTAGTAGTAGTAGTAGTAGTAGTAGTAGTAGTAGTCGTAGTAGTAGTAGTAGTCGTAGTAGTAGTAGTCGTAGTAATAGTAGTAGTAGTAGTAGTAGTAGTAGTAGTAGTCGTAGTAGTCGTAGTAGTAGTCGTAGTGGTAGTAGTAGTACTGGTCGTAGTTGTCGCAGTTGTCGTAGCAGTCGTAGTATCAGTAGCAGTCGTCGCAGTAGTAGTAGTCGTAGTAGTAGGAAGTAGTAGTAGTAGTCGTAGTAGTAGTAGTAGTAGTAGTAGCAGTAGCAGTCGTAGTAGTAGAAGTAGTAGTAGTAGTAGTAGTAGTAGTAGTCGTAGTAGTAGTAGTAGTAGCAGCAGTAGGAGTAGTAGTTGTAGTAGTAGCAGTGGTGGTAGCAGTCGTAATAGGAGTAGTAGTAAGAGTAGTTGTGTTAGTAGAAGTGGTACTAGGTGTCGTAGTAGGAGAAACTGTAGTAGTAGTAGTAGTAATAGTACTAGTCGTAGTAGTAGTGGTAGTAGTAGTAGTAGTCGTACTAGTAGTAAGGACATTAGTGGCAGCATTCATAATAGCAAACCTAGTAATAACAGTAACAATAGTAGTAGTAGTAGTAGTAGTAGTAGTAGTAGTAGTAGTAGTAGTAGTAGTAGTCGTAGTAGTAGTAGTAGTAGTAGTAGTAGTAGTAGTAGTAGTAGTAGTAGTAGTAGTAGTAGTAGTAGTAGTAGTAGTAGTAGTAGTAGTAGTAGTAGAGTAGTCGTAGTAGTAGTAGTAGTAGTAGTAGTAGTAGTAGTAGTAGTAGTAGTAGTAGTAGTAGTCGTAGTAGTAGTAGTAGTAGTTAGTCGTCGTCGTAGTAGTAGTCGTAGAAGAGTGTAGTAGTAGTAGTAGTAGTAGTGAAATAATTAGTATCAGTAGTAGTACTAGTCGTAGTCGTCGACGTAGTAGTCGTAGTAGTCGTACTAGTAGTAGTAGTAGTAGTAGTAGTAGTAGTAGTAGTAGTAGTAGTAGTAGTAGTAGTAGTAGTAGTAGTAGTAGTAGTAGTAGTAGTAGTAGTAGTAGTAGTAGTAGTAGTAGTAGTAGTAGTAGTAGTAGTAGTAGTAGTAGTAGTAGTAGTAGTAGTAGTAGTAGTAGTAGTAGTAGTATAGTAGTAGTAGTAGTAGTAGTAGTAGTAGTAGTAGTAGTAGTAGTAGTAGTAGTAGTAGTAGTAGTAATCGTGGTAGTAGCCGTAGTAGGCGTTGTAGAAATGACAGCCGTAGTAGTAGTCGTAGTAGCAGTAGATAGTAGCAGTAGTAGTAATAATAATAGTAACGAAAGTAATCGTCATAGTTGTAGTGGCTCCCGGCCATTATTATGGTGCTGCGGCCGGCGTCGCTCCACGCACGCGCGTCCTCCATCCCAGGAGTGTTGAAATGGTGGTCTCGCAATCCTCGCGAACGAACGAGAAGCCTAGCGCCAGACGGCGCGCGAGCAAGGTGAAGCAGGGCGCCGCGATGTCGAACTGCGGTGCTGCCCTGTGTCTGGGCACCAGGATCTCACTGCTGACTCCCACGATGCCGCCGCCTCACCTGACGGGTGAGAGTATGCAGACAGCGCGTCGTGGGAACCAGCGACTTCAAGACCGTTTCGGAAAACCGTGATTCCCCACGCTTGCCTGGGGCGCCCTCGTAGTCCTCGAAGGCTTGGCCCGCCACCATGGCGTGGATCAGCTTGGTCGCAGGAGCTGCCGGCCATCTGGTGCTGCGGCCGGCGTCGCTCCACGCGCGCGTCTGCCGTCCAGGGAGTGCTGAAGTGGTAGTCTCGTAGTCCTCAACAGACATCTAATCATCCTCGAAGTGAGCGAACGGTGCGAGCCCTTCGGCGTCGTGGTCCACGGGTTCCGCCGTGGCCTTCAGGTCCGCCTCGCCCTCGGCGCACCGAACCCACGAAGGCGCCGCAGGGGCGAGGGGGGGCGGCGAAGGACAGACAGACAGAGCGGTCTGCAGACCCGCCGCGGCGGGCTGGGCCCTTCATGGCGCGTGAGGAACAGCGCCCGGGCAGACCGAGCCAGACGATTACGTAGCATGGCAAACCAGAACAGCTACTCAGATGTCAACCCCTCGCCTGCGCGGACGTCCCGGGCGTCTGGTGGGACATGTTCGGAACCACGGATCGCTCGGATCGACAGCCAAGCTTTCCATGTCGGGTGGGGCTTTTTCCAGGACGTCACGAAGCTGGGGTATCGCATCCGCAGGGCGAGGAAGAGCAACACCACGGCCAGTGTGTCGGAGAACGCGAGGACGAAGGTCGATGGACACGCTCGAGGGGTCTGGCGCCTGCGGGTGCATCGCCGTGCAGCCGAGCGCACTCTGCCGCGTCAGGTGGAGAACAGCTGGATCCATGTCTGGAACTTCCACGGCAACGTGGTGCCGCAGTTCGCACTTGATCGCAGATGCGTACTGCGCGGCCAGGCAGATCTCCGCTGCAGCACACCTTCGTCTCTCATCACCTCTCGCGTCGCTCCCCCCCCCCGGCGGGCGGAGCGCGCTGCTGCTAGCGGAGCACCCCGCAGCACACAAGCTACACACCAATCGAGCCGTGCATAGGATTCATCGACCTGCCCAGTGCCTTAGGTCGAAGGCGCCCAAGCAGTAGCGCGGTTGGTGAGCTCACGACTTGCTCTTTCCATTCTCTGGGTAGGCTCATCTCCGCTGGCGCCGCGCGCTTCCATGGTGGGCTCTTCGACGGTAGGGCTCACGCACCGTTGCCCCGACGACCTGCAGACCATGCGGATGCTGCTGTCGTCCGCGCTCGACTCAGCATCGCCGCTTGAACTACCTCGGGGATGAGGTTAAGGTGGGAGGTTGGTGCCGTCGCTAGCCGCTGCTTGGGTGGGTGCCTTTAGCCCAGGATGAACGCTCCTCGAAAACGTAGGCAACGGTGCTCGTCGGGTTGGGAAAGCTCCTGATCTGCATGTGGTTGCGTCTGGCTGAACATGCCTGGTCGTGAAGGTAGTTTTTTTGCCATGATCCAGGACGGAATTTCGCCATCGTCTCCATCTGCCGCCTGTGTGGCGGTCCCTGCGCGACCAGATTGCCTTGCATACGTCCCATGCCAACGGCCAGATATAGAGTCGCGGTCCCTGAGCAGAGTATCTGGTGGCGACCCTGGACTACGGCTTGATAATGTGCGGCATGTCGACCAGCATGACCATGTAACGCGCCATTCGATCCATTCGTTAGAGGAAGAAAAAACAAATAAACATAAACTTTCGACGGTCCGAGCGGAATTCTTGGATTTGCGCTGGGCCCCCCTCCCTGGCGCGCGGAGCACGCCAGGGGTGGCGCCGGAGGCGCAGCCAGGGGGGCCCAGCGCGGATCCAAGAAATCCGTGTGGACCGTCGGAAGTATAGGCATATGTTCATTTCTTCTTCGATTCGTCAAGATCTTGCCAGACCTCGCCCTCTGTCGCGAAGAGCCACTGCTCAGCAGACCCTCCCAAGTGATAGTTGATTATCCTGGGTTTCTTATAAGCGTGGGGGGTACCTCCCCGACGGGGGTCAACCTCGCCTCGTCGTCGCGCTGCGACGGGGGTCGGAGCGCCTTCGGCGCGCGGCGCGCGGTG